CTTTTGGATATCAAATGGATCAACAGAGGTACGTGCTACTAATTTAATGTCAAGTGTTACTAATATCAAAATGCGTGACTCAAAGTTCTATGACAAAAAAGCTGTTAGAAGGTTAATTAACTGTCAATGTCTACACGAATGGATATTCAAAGTTTCAAGAAAGAACTAATGTTGATATAATATAACTATATAGAATGATGCATCAGTCCGTAGCAGCAAAAGATATGGCTACAAGTTATCATGATGGAAGTACATATTCGTACGTTCTTGGAAATCAAGATGGTCGGCAAAGGTAAATAATACTTATATCAATATATTTTATTCTTCTTGGAATATTAATATATTCTATTGTATATAATTAAGGCATATATATTGAACAATTAACATTTAAATTTATGCACTTCATAAATTTGAGTGAAACATTTAATAAAAATGATTTCAATGTTATATTTATATCCAACTTAAGTAATATTTACTAATGAATATATATCAAGTTCTGAAGGAATTAACATGGATGACATGGTACAATTCTATGATTACGATGTTTCGGGTCTAAGTTCTCGTCATGACAGTACAAACTGGCAAGCTTTTGGATATCAAGTAGATCAACAAAGGTACGTGTTACTAATTTAATGTATCAAGTATTACTAATATCAAAATTCGTGATTCAAAGTTTTATGACAAAAAAGCTCTCGAAAGATTAATTAACTGTCAATATCTGCATGTTACGAATGGATATTCAAAATTTCAAAAAAGAACTAACGTTAAAATAATATAATGTATATAGAATGATGCATCAGTCCGTAGCAGCAGAAAATATAGCTACCACTCATCATCTTGGAAATATATATTGGCAAGCTCCAGGAAGTCAAGAAGGCCAACAAAAGTAACTATCATATTATAAAGATGTTAACATTTTATTCTTTTAAGTTATTAATGTACTATGCAAAGTTAAAATACCATTACAAACTTATTGTTTAAAGATATGAACTAAGTTTCAAATATTTTGCTTATATACTTCAATATTATATAATCAAATTATACAGAGTGTTCAGCGTAACGGTCCGCACGATTTTTTAGACACTTGCGACAATTAAAAAAAAGGTTGTAAGGTGATTATCCATCAATTTCATGCGGGCTACAACATGCGATAAAAATTAAAAAAAAAATTGATTTATAATAAAAAAAGTCAAGGTTATCAACGCACTATCGAGATTGTAACTTTCATTGATGTTTTAATGATTTTATTACATAATATTTATCACAAATACTCATTAGTAAAGAAATACTTATGTGAACTTATTAACTTATGTGAACAAATTTTATTAATTTTTTTATATTTAACCTTTATAGAGGGCCTGACTGGACAATATAGTGGCCAGCGCAAATCTCGTTGACTTCTCGTGATAGAAAAAATCCATCGGAGATAAATCCGGAGGACCTGCCGGCCATTGAACTGATCCATATGTACTTATAACACGATTTCCAAAGATAATTTTGAATAAAAATAGTATAATAGCTGATTTTTTCGGATATAAAGATACACGCTCTTTATCAGAAATGTTCTCGAAGATTTCTTGATTGGATGACACTTTCCAAAGCATAAAAGACGGTCGTTCACACTCGTGTTGGGCTTTTCCCGTGGATCGATAACCGTGAGAAAAGGTAAGATTTTTGTCTACGTTAAGCTCTTGGCGTGCCGTCGGATACATAGACACGTCGACATATCGATGAAGATACTTCCTTTAAGGCCCAGTTTCACAACTGACGGTTAACTCTTAACCTAGGTTCAACTTATTCATTATCTCTTTTCAATTCTAGAATTGGAAAAAGATGAGAAATAAGTTGAACCTCGGTTAAGAGTTAACCGTGAGTTGTGAAACTGGGCCTAAATAGATCATAGACGAACCGGTTTTTATCGAAAATGATACGATTTATGTGATGGATACACTTGGGCATGTGCTCCGTATGCGGATCAACATCAGACGAAGTTTACTTGATGACGTTTTCGACACATTTCTCTGCCGCACCAATGCACTTAAAAAATTTCATAGGAACATAAGCCCAAAGCGTTATCACATAATTAAAAAAAATTTTTTTAATGTTAAATTTCAGAACTGAAAGAAAGCTGGCAAAGAGAAAGGAATTAAAAAAAATTAATCACACAAGAAATTACTGATAACATTTTATATAAAGAGATTTTTAGAAATGCATTTAAAAAAAATTAATAAATATAATTTTAATAAATTAATATTAATAAAAAACGAAACGATGCCTGTAAAGAATTTATGTACAAAACTAGAGCTAATTTATAGTTATAAGTAAATTGAAAATATAATTATACATTTGCCCATTATTATAACAAAACACGATACATAAAATAATGTAATAATAATGTTTTGTTACGTGTCCCTTAATTCTATATTTTTAATATACATAAACTAAAAATTTAGATGGCATTTTTTAACGTATAATTACAATAATAGATATAATAAATGCTGTAATAATGATACAAACGAAACGTAAGAAAAATAATTTCAAATTATATAAACTTGTTATTTATATAGCAGTTCAGTTTTGTTTTCTAATTTATTAAGGTTGACAAAACTTTGATATTAATATTAATTTAAATGATTATGAAAATCGAATAAGTATGAACGAAATTGTACGTATTAACGGTTAGGAAAATAGAAGCAAATAAATAAATAAATACTTATATTTTAATAAAGATAAACATGTTTCACTTTGATCTTTTCCAAACAGTTTCTCTGAATATTTTCCTTAAAGTAATCGTTATTTCGTATTTAGTGACACATCGCGATACAGTGCGGATGTAATGGCAACACGAGAAATATCAAACAAATGGGTGTTGAAACATATTCGTAAATTGGACAATTTTACTGTACAGTGCAATATAGGTAGATGTGGTAAAATTTATACACTTAAGATAAACAAAAGCGAAACGATATCGAGAATAAAAGCACATTTATACCAAAAGCATGGAAAATTGAATGAAGAAGATCGCTTAAAATGGGAAAACGACAATGACTTGATATGGCAATATTTTGACAGAGTAGATTTATACACAGGAAAATGTAAATTTTGTAAAATTCAATATAAAGAATAGTATATACCGAGGCTAAAGTATCATCTGCGAAAAAAACATAGTCAAGAAATAAGAGCTGCTGTACAAGAAGATATTGCAAATAAGTCGCTATCGCAATATTTCGAAATTCATGAGGAAGAATTTAATGCATCATGCAGACGGTGCAATGTTAAAAATAATATATTTTACGGAATAGATGCCTTAATAAATCACATTTGTTTAGATAATAACGTGAACAAAATGATACAACAATCTCTAGCTGAGGAAAATACAAATTTAAGTTCCCATCATGATAATTTAAATAGACAAGCTCTTGGACTTCGAAAAAACGAACAAAGGTAACTGTTATGTAATTAAACTGTTAATGTTTCACTTTCCTTAAGTTACTAATATATCATCTACACTTTAATACATATTAAAAATTTATTATATTGCTCAATTCAATCTATTCACATTAATGTTTATTACGCTCTAAATCTGAACCAGTGGATAATCACTGATATCAGTGCCAAGTATGCCACTGGTAATCAGTGAGTGAAATGTGATATTCCTAACCTAGCTAACCTTTATTATGTGATCTAATTAATCTTATTTTAGTGCATAAATTTAATGAATATAGTATTAGAAGATTGAAATTAACATATAAATATCAATATTAGAATACATAATGCTCAAATCTTCTTTCTTTTTTAATTGAACTTCACTGATTATCCAATGCCAAATACGTCACTGGGTGATTAGTGAATAGTGGCATACTTGGCATTGATATCAGTGATTATCCACTGATTCAGATTTAGAGAGTACAATAACAATGATAAACGATTGTAGTAGCCTAAATAAAAAGTCAAGAAACATTTCCAAATATAAACTTGTACAAATTTTTAATGTTAAACTTTATTTTCAAGTCAAGATGTGTAAAATATACAATGTTAATATTAATCTGACTGATTGACAGTAGAAATCGAATAAGTAGGAATTAAACTGTATGATTCTAACTGAATTAAAAGATTTAATCAATAACCTTTATATATTAATAAAAAATTACACATTTCACTCTTTCTCCTACCATCGATCTTTCCTAAACAGCTTTTCTGAACATTTCCCATGTCTTAATCGATATTTCGTATTTAGAAATACACCGCGATACTGGACGTGGACGGATGTAATGGCAGCTTGGAAAACATCAGACAACTGGATATGGAAACATGTTCTTGAATTAGACAATTTTACTCTACAGTGCAATATGGATAAATGTAATAAAACGTATTGTTATAAATATAAAAATATAACTACATTGGAAAAATCTATAAAGGAACATTTATATCGTAAGCACAAAATATGGACTGAAGAAGATCTCTTAAATTGGAAAAAGAACAACGACTTGATATGGCAATATTATGACAAAGTAGACTTATACAAAGGAAAATGTAAATTTTGTAAGAAATTTTATCATGCAACACAACTATCAAATCAAAAGACACATCTGCAAAGAAAGCATAGACCAGAAATAATAGCTGCTATACGAAAAGAAATTGCAACTAAGTCGCTATCACAACATTTTAAAATCGATGACAAAGAATTTAGTGCAAGGTGCAAACGTTGCAATGATAAAATAAACATATTTTACGGAGCAGACGCCTTAATACATCACATTTGTTTAAAAAGGAATCAACATTTCAAGTCTCGACCAGAATCTAAAGATAATGAGGTGAACAGAATGACACAATTTATAGCCACCGAAATTGCAAATACAAGCTCCCATCATGATGATATAAATTGGCCAGCTCCTCGAAATCAAGACCAACAAAGGTAACTGTTAAATAATAAAAATATTAATGTTTATTTTCTTTAGTTATAAATACATAATGTATACTTTAAATACATTACAAATTTAATGTATTACTTGATTTACTTCAACGTTTCGCAATCGGTAAAATACTTATTTGTAAATTGCAATAATTGGAGCAATCACACTTTTAGCGCATTTTATAGCAGCACAGAAATAAATAACTTAAGATCTCACTGTCAATATCATATAAATGAAGATTCAAGATATGAAAAAGGAGCAGCAGATAATAGCGAGTCTAGAATGATGCACGGAGATGTACCAGCACAACATATAGCTACAAATTATCATCATGAAAGTACATATTGGTACGTTCTTGGAAATCAAGATAGTCAATCAAGATAAATGATACTAATATCAATATATTTTATTTTTCTTTAAATATCAGTATATTCTATTATATATAATTATATATAATAGAATATACTGAGACTAATAGAATATACTATCGCAATTATATTGAACATTTAACATTTAAGTATATAGACTTCATAAATTTGAGTCAAAAAACATTTAATAAATATGTTTTCAATATTATATTTATATCCAACCTAAGTAATATTAACTAATGAACATACATCTAGTTCTGAAGAAAATAATACGAATAACACAATATTTCTTGCTGATGATGTTTCGGATGCAAGTTCTCGTCATAACGGTACAAACTGGCAAGCTTTTGGATATCAAATGGATCAACAGAGGTACGTGCTACTAATTTAATGTCAAGTGTTACTAATATCAAAATGCGTGACTCAAAGTTCTATGACAAAAAAGCTGTTAGAAGGTTAATTAACTGTCAATGTCTACACGAATGGATATTCGAAGTTTCAAGAAAGAACTAATGTTGATGTAATATAATTATATAGAATGATGCATCAGTCTGTAGCAGCAGAAAATATGGCTACAAGTTATCATGATGGAAGTACATATTCGTACGTTCTTGGAAATCAAGATGGTCAGCAAAGGTAAATAATACTTATATCAATAATTTTTTATGATAGTATTATGCTAGCGACATTAGGATAAGTTATATTTATTTTTATTATTATTTTTCAAGATTTTACTAATGTAACCGGATTTCTAAGATAAAGTTGTTTTGCATTGAAAATGACCCGATCGGAGTCGAAACATTTGTAATGTTATTATTTTAATTAAAATTGTTCGTTGTAATATTGGTTCTATGCCCTGTTAATATTTATATTGTTTTATACATATTGAGCCTTATAATTACTTTATTTTATATCAATATATTTTATTCTTCTTTAAATATTAATATATTCTATTATATATAATTATCGCAATTATATTGAACAGTTAACATTTAAGTATATAGACTTCAAATTTGAGTCAAACGTTTAATAAATATGTTTTCAATATTATATTTATATCCAACCTAAGTAATATTAACTAATGAACATACATCTAGTTCAGAAGAAAATAATATGAATAACACAATATTCCTTGCTGATGATGTTTCGGATGTAAGTTCTCATCATGACGGTACAAGCTGGCAAACTTTTGGATATCAAATGGATCAACAGAGGTACGTGCTACTAATTTAATGTCAAGTGTTACTAATATCAAAATGCGTGACTCAAAGTTCTATGACAAAAAAGCTGTTAGAAGGTTAATTAACTGTCAATGTCTACACGAATGGATATTCAAAGTTTCAAGAAAGAACTAATGTTGATATAATATAACTATATAGAATGATGCATCAGTCCGTAGCAGCAAAAGATATGGCTACAAGTTATCATGATGGAAGTACATATTCGTACGTTCTTGGAAATCAAGATGGTCGGCAAAGGTAAATAATACTTATATCAATATATTTTATTCTTCTTGGAATATTAATATATTCTATTGTATATAATTAAGGCATATATATTGAACAATTAACATTTAAATTTATGCACTTCATAAATTTGAGTGAAACATTTAATAAAAATGATTTCAATGTTATATTTATATCCAACTTAAGTAATATTTACTAATGAATATATATCAAGTTCTGAAGGAATTAACATGGATGACATGGTACAATTCTATGATTACGATGTTTCGGGTCTAAGTTCTCGTCATGACAGTACAAACTGGCAAGCTTTTGGATATCAAGTAGATGAACAAAGGTACGTGTTACTAATTTAATGTATCAAGTATTACTAATATCAAAATTCGTGACTCAAAGTTTTATGACAAAAAAGCTCTCGAAAGATTAATTAACTGTCAATATCTGCACGTTACGAATGGCTATTCAAAATTTCAAAAAAGGACTAACGTTAAAATAATATAATGTATATAGAATGATGCATCAGTTCGTAGCAGCAGAAAATATAGCTACCACTCATCATCTTGGAAATACATATTGGCAAGCTCCAGTAAGTCAAGAAGGTCAACAAAAGTAACTATCATATCATAAAGATGTTAACATTTTATTCTTTTAATGTACTGTGCAAAGTTAAAATACCATTACAAACTTATTGTTTAAAAATATGAATTAAGTTTCAAATATTTTGCTTGTATACTTTAATGTTATATAATCAAATTATACAAAATTGTTTATACTTAAATTTGTATCATGATCTGCAGTTAACTTGAATATGCCATTACATTTAGGATGTTTCATTTTAATTGCAGCAGAAAATATTTCAAATAATATTAAAAGTACGTAACATCTTCAACAAAAGTTGCATTACTTGAAAGTGGATAAATAATGGTTGAAATAAGTTTTTGAAAAAATCGATTCTTTTTTTTACATAACAAAGACTTCATTTTTTTTTACATAACAAACTTTCTAATTAATCTATTTATAAAAGCATTAATGTTGAAATATCAAAGCATCAATAGTTTGCAATATATTATATATTTTATTGCAGCCCACCTTAATAAAATATAAAATATTTCTTAAACTACTATTTTTTGTACTTTTATGCTAGCAAATAAAAAAATTAATGTGTATAAGTAAAACGCACGGTTACTTTTCAGTAAAACTACACAATTTGCCATATAACTTCATATCACTTTCGAACAGCAACTATGTGTTTTTTTACATCAATTTATTGATCTCGTTATTCCATATATTAAGTATTAAGGTTCGTTTGTCAAAGATAAATGGTTTACGAGGTATTTCATACTGTACATCAAACTAATGTAAATAAAAACCCGTAAATAATTGAATTCTTGACCTTTAAATTAAAAAATATAATAGTATATTTTGTATAACATCTTATATGTTATATCATCTATAAGAATATGTCGTAGTTATAATTCGTATATACAAGGTGTCTCATTTGATGCTTCAAACGCAATTATGTCCCAAATTATACTTTATTCTCAAAAATGATTGAAAAATGGAACCCACTTTATTTTGTGGGGATTCTTTTTGGTGGTCACAGTTCATGTCAAAGTGGACATTTCTCTAACTATGCAATTTCAAAGTGTGCTGTACTTTTTTTAAAAATGGAATTGAAAATAATTTTTTTACATAATATGTTTCCTGTACTCTTCGACATATGAAAGTATTCAGATAGAAATGCCAAAAAATCATTAATTCACAAGATATTTTGTTATAGTACAGGGCAGAATAATAAAATGTGTTAATTTATGTTAAGGAAACACATAAATGCTTATTTAAATAATCTTTCATTTTGCTTATATGTTTTATTTAAATCGACTCTATGTATTTCCTATACTTAAATTTATTAACTGTATTATAGTGTTCATAAAAGTATCAAGATACGAGTATGAAATATTTATATTTTATGATTTATTTAATATCAGATGTCAATGTGTCATTTATGATAAACATAATAAACTCACATAATAAAGTACAATATATTTCGTAAGCTATTAATATTTTGGAATTTCAATTTTATACTTTTATTTGCAGAGTAATTAGAGAAACCATTATGTAAAAAATATATATATTATTCCATTCGAAGAAACATAAACTTTGATATCTTGAAGGCGTGTCCACCGAGAGGAGCTCTGTAGTATTAATAAAATTTGTCTTTCTCAAAACAAAGTAAGTTTCACTAAAATATAGAATTTAGAATAACAAATTAGCTGATATTTGCGTTCTAAGCTTAAAATGATATGTCCTGTATGTATTAGATATATATTGTAAAGTATTTCCTGGTAATACTGACGGATAATACTCATATTATTTAAAATATTTATTGTCTATTTATATTAAAAATTCAGGTATTTACATTATTTGAATATTTCGAGTATTATTATTTTAATATTAAAATCTCTCTTTCTCCGGATTGTGTATTGACAAATATTTTAATCTGTACTATTCATTTTATTTAATGTTAGTTATTTTAAATTTTTGAAAATTAACATACTATCGATTGTAATATAATTATTAGAAAATTTATGTAATTAAAATATGCTCCGAATATCGTATTTATATTTGTTAAAAAGTTAATATGTATAAATAGGTCGTAATGTGGTTAACGAAAAAGCAATGCACTTTAATTAAGAAGATACTTTCAAAAGACCCTCTTATTCATTTAATCCATAATTAATTAGAGACATATGCATCATTTATTATAACATACGGTTCATGTTCTATCTTTTCTTTTTTTATTAACTTTTCTGTTATCGTTAAACGTTTCAAAATGAAAGAATTTTTTAGCGTAGCAATATTTTATAATGATTATTGATTATTAATGTCTTAATATTTGCATTGTTTTTACATCTGCAATCGTGCTTATTCTTATTTTCTGATTTATGTTCATGAGCCCAATTTACAAGTAATATAATAGTATTCAATATTTATTCTTATTTTTTATTTAGAAGTAAAATCCTTATAATTAAATATAAATCTTAAAACTTAATACTCTACAGTAAGTTACAATAAATTTAATAAGCATTAAAATATATTAATTATGGAAAGTTATAATTTAATAAAACGGTTTATATTTTTATACTTGGGTTGGAATAAGAAGACTATGGAATGCCGTTTTGTTATTAATTAGTAATATAATAATCTTAGAGGAAGAAATTATAATGACTTCTTGTGAAAAAGATTTTCTTCAGTTAGTTGTTTCTTACTTAACATTTACATAATTTAGTTAGTATATTTACATAATTTCATAAATTATAATATTTATTTATACAAAATATTCTATTTAATGCATTTTGTGTAGTGTAGTAAAAAATGTTTTAGCATACCTTTTTTAAAATAAAAAAAAGTTAAAAATTTTTTTACAATATCAATAGTAATTCACTTAATCAATATTTCTTTCAAAATATATATTATTGTGAAAAATAAATATGATTGTATTAATTAATGGCTTTCTTAAAAAATATATATTTTTTACAAACATCAGAATATTGTAAAAATTAATTATTTTCCGCAATTGTCACTTAATTGTAATAATTTGTTTTATCAGTTTTTTTTAAGCTATCGTTATAATGTAAAAAATATTGATTTAGTACAATTGTTGATTTTATACAACTATTGAATAAATTTTATTTTATGCGATAATCGTGTATTGCTTAAATTATGATACACATGTGTCGCAATAAATAAATTCCCTAGTCATCAGTTGATGCCTTCACTTATCATTGAATATGAATAGGATATTTATTTATTGCGACACAAGTGTACCACAATTTAAACAATACACACGCGACTGTCGCATAAAATAAAATTTGTTCGAACATCGACAATTGCATAAAATTAATTTTTGCAATATGGCAGCATTTTCAAAGATATTGATATATAATCAAATACATTTTTATAATAAACCGACAATTGGAAAAAGTAATGAATTTTTACAATACTTTTAATGATTAAAAAAATAAATAATTTTTTAATACAAAGAAATTTTATATAACAATATTTACAGTTATTGCAATTATCGATTTTTTGCAATACTATGCTTGTTGCAAAAAAAGTCTTAATAATATAACAATGGTTACATTGTCATGTGGTCGGTCATATTGTACGTATACGTACTCATTGTATAATAAGCACAAACTCTGAAACGAATAATTACAAAAATTATGCATGCACAATATAATATTGCTGAAATGGAAATGGAAAATATATTAATTAGAATATGTACTGAAACTTTGAAAAAAGATAGATAAATAATATTTTTACATACATCATATATACAATATCTATATCTTTCCGTGTACATACTGTACGATCTCGTATATGTAATGAGTATATATGGACGCTCTTTGCTTTTTCTCGTGTACGCGAAGTACTATTAATGATTCTCTAACTACATATGCATCCACGCGCAAAGCGTGCAAAAGCGGATCTCGTGCTTGGCTATGCACGAGACATATCACGGAACAGAAGCCAGATATTTTTTTATATTTCGCAGTACTTTGGTACACATAATATTGGAGTCATACGATTAAACTTTGCCATAACGAAGCCTTTGCTTTCGCTCTCGTATTTAATGCACGTAGTTTTTACCCCGCTTGAACATTACGCAGCTCGCGACCAAAAACATTTTTATTTGATTTTAAACAGCCAGACATCAGAATATTCAAGTGCGATAAATAATCACTTTAACGTGCGAAATGAAAACAAGTGGTCGATTAATTCTGGATCAGACAATCCGCAGTCTTATTCGTTCTATTCAAAGAGTTCTTACCTTTCACGTCAAACATATTCCCGCAATAACAGCGTGTTTATAAATGTATATTACTGTTTTGAGAGTTGAGATGCGGTTGCCAAATTGCTTATTCTGTAGTCTAAGAATGCGGTTGTAAAATTGCTTTTGGAGAAAATGAGATATAAAAGCGCGCGTGAGAATTCACAGAGGTCTGATTATGCCTGCACGGAAGCGAACAGTAAATCACCCGATCATATTCATGAGCTTGCACGCGTGTACGTAAATAAGGACACGTGTAGACCGCGTAACCGCGAGGCATAGATCGACACGCGTGACGTATGGGCGAGAAGTTAATCAAATCGTTTTCAGCAATTTATCAGACCAGCCGTCGGGCCGTTACGACATGCCGTTCGCGCAAACAACGCGACACGATACGCCTGGAAATATTGGTCAACTCTGAATAATTACCACACCGTAATCGGAAGTAATGATTGTCGCAACGTTCATGACTCAATAAATCGCTATGCATTTTTTATACAGCTCGCAAAGAATAAAAAGTGGTGCCAATACAGGAAACTAGAACTTTTTTCCCCCTCATCGATATCAACAAATATATATCGCTATGTCAACCTTATTTATATGTTGACTATTGGATATTGTAGAAAAAGAAAATTTTGAGATTTTTTTGAAAGACAAACAAATATCATACGTTTCAAATTTATCAAAAATTTCACAGATTAAATTATACGTTAAATTAAAAATTCATATTTTAAAAAGAAACAATTAAAGATAGGACGAATGTTGAAAATCAGGGCATA